GAGGGTTATCCATGGTCCTTGGGAAGGCCGGGAGTGGGGGGGCAAATCGCACCTCTGGGGCAAGAATGTTCCAAAGGGCAGGGGCTACCGCAGAGAAGGCCCGCCTTCTGGACCCCGCTAGATGGAGTTCTTTTACTGAGGGGGTCCAAAGCATGCCCTCTCTGTGTGAACAGATGGGATGGGTTGAAGTCATTGAGTTATGTAAGACCTGATCCCATCAAAAGGAAAACAGGTCAGAAAATGCAGCAGAATGGCATTATTAAGTTCCAAAATGATACAGTGGCTCAAATTGTTTTAGACTGAAAACAGGAGATCATAAAGATGTAATGCTCTTGTATGTGAGAAAAGAAGAAAGTTCCTGCTAGTGAAAATATGTATATATTTATTATGAGAGTTGTATCCCACCTCTCTGCCAAAGAAGGGTACTTAAGGCAGCTAACAGATAGATTAAAACAAGATTAAATCACATGAAAACATACTGTCTTAAATAGTCAACAAAAAATACCCATCAATTTTGTCAGCTAAAAATCCCAGAGTCTTGAAAAAATAAAACATTTTCAACTATTGGCAAAAGGCCAACAAAGAGGGAGCTACTAGCTGACAGTCCTGGAAGTTTGGACTTCCAATGTCTAGTAGTCATTTTTCTGCTCCTTCCTAAACATTTAAGGACCAAGAGAAAGGTCCAGAACTGCTTAATGCCAGAAAGCCTGATCCTAAGTCATGATGAGCAGCTCTTAAACAACATTTTGAACTATGCTTGGAAGCAGACCATTAGCTAGAGAAGATATTTTAACAAGAAAACCATAGTACACGCATGCTGTGTACTGTAATTTGGAATTACAGTAGAGCAGAACCTGAATGGTCCTGCTCACACAACATGCTAAACTAGGTCATTGAAAGATCATGTAGCAGTATTTATACAACATACTAAATTAGGTTAGCTTAAACTTGGTTTACTTGTGACTTGGAGGGTTGTCTGAGCCAGCACATTTGGTTAGTTTGTGACTCACTGTGTGGCGCAGATCCAGAAAATAGCTTAATTCAGTAGCCAGACTAAGCATGTTGTGTGAACTCAATCTTCAGGTTCCTGAAGGGACATCACACAGAAGGAAGAGAAGGAGGTGACAGTAGCCATGACCTACTTTCTATCATCCCAGAGTGGAGAAAGCAGAATAGTGGGAATAATTGGAATAAACTATACATTAAGTTATATTCTGGTTGAATGCTGCTAGCATAAACATTTCCTAATGATAAGAACAGTTGGGCAATTAAATCAGTTGTCCAGGGTGATGGTGTACTCCCTTTTGCTGGATGTGGTCAAATAGAGACTGGAGAGACTTTTGTCAAGGATGTTTTTATCTGAATTCCTGCACTGAGTAAAGTGATGGTAGAATTGCTCCCTTCCCACTCTAGGGTTCCATGTGTCTGTATGAGCAGCTAACTGCTGAGGTATTCAAGCATGAAGAGGTTACGACAGGAAGACTATTTGCAAGTTAAAAAAAATAAAATGGAGCATTGAAAAAGAAAGAATCCATTTTGTTCTTAAACTTTAGGTTTCTGTCATGTTTTTCAGCTATACATGTACAGCAGCTCCCCCTAATCTCTAAATGTGTTCATCATGCATCATAGATACCTACATGCGTCAGTACTAAAGAGCTAATTTTGACACACACAGCCAAAGTGATTATATTTTAGGATGTTAGACTAATTTATGCAGAACATTTGGTGCACTTTGAAGGCTTCAGAGTATGTCCAATTTATGATTCGCCACAGAATCACTTCAACCACATTTAGGTTTCTGGTGGAGGCCTGAGTGGAGTGAATTGAGTGGCAACTTGGCAAACGGCTGAAAATCTTTGCAGGCCAATGAAGGATTTATGTTGCACTCCTTGGCCCTGTGGGTGAATGGTTAATTGTGCTGGGGGAACTTGTATACTTCACTTCTTTGAGAGAACATCTTCTATTGCATTGTGATGGTGCTTTAATTAACTCTGGGGGGACTGAATGATGTCACCACTTTGCACACCTACAGTGCTGTGTCTTTGTCCATAGCATAATGTCTCCATCATGCAGACTAAATTCTCTTGGCTTCCTCCATCACTGCATCCTGATAGCAGTGGGACAGGTAAGTACAATCATGTTACTGCTTAGGGACCAAATGTTAGTCTCTACATGAGATGCCAACACATAAGATGCAGAAAGGCTATTTATTTAAATATTTATTTATTCATTTGAAGCATGTTTAATCCACACTTTAGCCAGAATTGGACTAGTTTCTGTTCTTAAGTTTATTATCTAAACAATATGACAGATAAAGCGAAAGGCTTGGCAGAGACTAGGAGAAAAGGCAAATTTGATGACCAGTTGGTGTGAAAACTGTTTAGATAACAGGACAGAATGGCTGCCAGTGATATGACAAGTAAGAAGAGGTCAGCTGAATCCTTCTTTTTTCCTCTGCTCTGGAGCCTGACGGAGTCGATCCAATTAGGCGGCTGGGAAAAATCAGACAAATTTACCTCTGGGTGATCCCATCTTTTGTGGTCTTATTTTGATTTCTTTCTTTCTTTTTTTACTGCTTAAGACACTCAGAGTTGTTGGAAATGGGTGGCCAAAATTTTGAAATATAAATACATAAATAAAGTGGCCTGTCAGTAGGTGGAATGGGCCATTTTGCATTTACTTTTCCATTTTCAGTTTTAAATACTGAGTTATCAGACATCTATGACAACAATGTACCAGGTTGGTTGTATGAATTGAATAGAGCTGAAATGTTTCTAACAACGATCCAACAAAACATATGAAAGTGACAATGCAGTTCTACACAATGAAGTTAGTTTCACTGAATTCAGTGGGACTACTTAGCAAGTGGGTTTATTAGCCAAGCACCTAAATAATGAAAGTGATTGCAGAAAAGCAGGCTTGAGCCACTACATACATGCCCTGTTGAACAACATCTCTGTCCTTGTGGTGGTGGTCAAATGAAGGACATTATTCATTATGTCCTCCACTACCCCATTTACAATGAGATCAGGGCCAAATTATTGATAGTAGGTGAACTCAAGGGCTTGGATCTCAAACAACTGAACTATCTTCTTGCAGTTGTGTTTCCAACTGTTAGCAGTCAGGTTGCTACTTTTGCTCTGCTGTCATTTAAACTTCAAAAGAAATATTTACGTTATTTTAAATAGCATAGTTATTTTATGCTACGCTACATTGTTATGACCTGTGATTGCAACAATAAACTTACTTACTTACTCACTAGATCCATAGCTCAACTTCACAAATGCCATAGAAGAAAGTCAACCAAACCAGGAACAATGGCCATCTATTTATACCCTAATTTAATCTAGACAAGTTTCTAACTATGTTAGATCTCAGAATTACAGAGAAATTCCTTAAGTTGCCCAGAGATAATTTCAAAATCCTTTAAAAACCTGCTCCTAAATAAGTATACCATCTGGCTTCCTATTCAAATTACCTCTCAGAGAAATGCAGCTATTGAACTAAAAGAGTTATACTGTATATATGAAATGTGATCTGTTTCCACAGCCCATCCAGGACCCTTCCTTAGTTCTGCACCTGCAGTTAAGAGTCCTTAATTTCCCCATATTCTTTATCCTGATCACCTTAAATTAAGAAATTCCCATGTCATTATTATAGTATAGCTTTTGAGGGGGAGGGGAGGTATTGCAGCCCCTGCCCTATTTTCTTTAAATGCACCCTGTCTTTTCTCTCTCAGTTTCTCTGCTTTTTATTTTGCTTTAAAGTTCCCCCTTCATCCCTGTGCACCTTA